GGGGGGGGGGGGGGGGGGAGATGAAGTTTAGTCTGAATGATAAAGTGGTGAAGTTCAAAGTGTGTAAGTCGATGAAGTAACCGCAAGATATAAGTGTGGTCTCCTCTATTGATATAATTGAGGAAGGGTTCATTAAAGAAACTATAGAGGAAAGGTTTACTGTAGCATATCAATTTGAGAAAGGGGTCATTAAGGCATCTATAAAGGAAATTGATATGAAAGGGGTAATTAAAGCATCTATAGAGGAAAGGTTTACTGTAGCAACAATAACTGCAGTGATTATGAACTTTGATGAGGCAATATGAGTAGATTATGTGGAGACTCTAAATACACTACAGGGAATGGCATCACATACATATTCTCCTAAAAAATTGGTCCTAGATCTGAAGAACAGACCGAGCCCGCCAGTAGAGCTATCTATTGAAGAGCCACCTGTACTTGAATTGAAGAAATTGTCCGATCATATGAGGTATATCTTTTTAGGTAAAAGTTACACTTTGCCAAAAATTGTGGCTGCAGATCTTAACATTGAACAAGTGCAATCACTCGTGAAAGTGTTGAAAAGGTTCAACAAAGCAATTTCTTTGACCATTTCTGATATAATTGGGATACCTCTCGATATTTGCACTCACAAAATCTAACTAGAGGAAGATATTAGCTCCGATATAGAGCACCAAAGAAGGTTGAACCAACTGATGCAAGAGGTTATGAATAAGGAGATTATTAAATAGTTAGAAGCAGGAGTAGTGTACCCCATTAATGATAGTCATTGGGTAAGCCCAGTGCCATATGTACCAAAAAAGGGCAAAATGACTATGATGCAAATGCAAAAAATGAGTTGATCCCATAAAGGTTGGTCACAGGTTGGTGAGTATGTATGGACTACAAGAAATTGAACAAATGGACCTTGAAAGACCATTTTCCAATGCCTTTCATAGACCACATGTTAGATAGGCTGGCAGGAAAAAGCTGGTATTGTTTCTTGGAGGAGTACTCTAGTTACAATAAATCTCAATTGTACCTTATGATCAGGTGAAAACCACTTTCACATTCACTTATTGTACCTTTATGTTCAAGCACATGGCATATAGATTATTTAATGTTCCTTCCACTTTCCAACGATGTATGTTGTCCATTTTCTCGGACATGATTGAAGACACTTTGGAGGTGTTCGTTGAAGACTTCTCGGTGGTAGGCAACAATTTTGATGAATGTTTGTTAAATCATAGCAAGACATTAGAGATATGCGAAGAGGAGAACCTAGTTCTAAATTGGGAAAACTATCATTTCATGGTCAAGGAAGGCATATTGGTCCATAAAGTGTCTGAAAAGGGTTTGGAGGTGGATAGAGAGAAAATTGAAGTTATTGATAAGCTGGTTACACCTATTTCTGTAAATAATATCCGTAGTTCCTTAGGCGATACAGGGTTCTACCAATGTTTTATTAAGGACTTCTTGAAAATTGCACATCCCTTGTGTAAACTGTTAGAGAAGGAGATAAAGTTCACTTTTGATGAGGCGTGCACCAAAGCATTTGAATTTCTCAAGGAGAAGTTAATTTTAGTTCAAGTTATTATTGCTCCAGATCGGTCGGAATCATTTGAGGTAATGTGTGATGCAAGTGGTGTTGCCTTGGGGGGTTGTGCTAGGGCAGAAGCGCAACATCCTTCAGTCGATATACTATGCAAGAAAAGAATTTAATGGAGCTCAAAAGAACTACACTGTCATTGAGCAATAATTTCTCCCAGTTGTGTATGCATTTAATAAATTTAAAGCATACATGCTAGGAACAAAAGTGGTAGTTCACACCGACCATGCAACATTACGATATCTAATAGTGAAAAAGGCTGCTAAGTCGAGACTGATAAGATGGGCATTGTTGTTACAAGAATTTTACTTTGAGGTCAAAGACAAAAGAGGTTGTGAAAATCAAGTAGAAAATCACTTGTCCAGATTGGAAGCAAAGAAGAAAGGTGAAGATGAGGTTGACATTGATGACTCATTCCCTAATGAGTAGGTAATAGTCGCTACTCTTGATCTTATTTCTTATTTTGCTGACTTTGCCAACAATCTTTTCGGTGATTTGATGCCTAAGGACCTGACCTTTCAACAAAGGAAAAATTTATTGCATGATGTGGGTAGATACTTTTGGGATGAACCATACTTGTAAAAAGTTTGTGCTAACGACATAATTAGAAGGTGTGTACTTGAAGCTGAAATGTTGATATTCTTGAATCTTGTCACTCCTCTCCTATTGGTAGACACCTAGGAGGAGCTCTCAGTGCCCATAAAGTACTTCGAAGTGGTTACTATTAGCCTAATATTCATGAGGATGCATTTGATCCGGTAAAAGGTTGTGAGATGTGTCAAAGGAAGGGAGCTATATGTCGTTGTCATGAGTTTCTTATGACCCCTATCTTGGAGGTCGAATTATTTGATGTTTGGGATATTGACTTCATAGGACCATTTGTGAGTTTGTATGGAAAGAAATACATATTGGTGGCAGTTGACTATGTCTCCAAGTGGGTAGAAGTTGTGGGCATTGGCAGAAAATGATGGCAAGAGTTTTGCAGGATTCTTAAAGAAAAATATTTTATGTGTTAGGCGATTAACTATATATAGTTTGCACTACTTTTTGCATTTTTGGCCATCCTTTCAAACATTAATCCTCGCCTTGTCCAATTTCCTATAAACATGTAAATCATTAACATTCTATCAGAATAGGACAAACTTAGGCATTGACATAGACTAATTATTGATATAAATGGACCTTAAATGAGTGAAAATCTACCACTCATCAAGTTGACATCGCCCTTTATACCTAACCTTGAACTGTTTGCAGTGTCACATTCTGCGAGATTGTCTTAGCTCGCTTAAATCATCTTAGTTAATCTCCCTGTTTGAGTTTACACCACCCTTCATTCCTGAGTCAAAATATGTTTTGTCCTGTCAACTTCAGCTAGCTCATCTTTGCTCGCCTAACCTGGTAGGTGAATCACCTTCTCATTTGGCGAGCCTCAGGAACACTATTTCATCTCTGTTTTGTTATGCAATTTTTTCAACTAACTTCTCTGATGTTTGTTTTTATATATTGTGCTTTACAAGAAATAAAAAAACAAAAGCTCTCATCCTTTTCAAGGGTTGTCTCTTGAGACTCTAAGTCCGACCCTAAATCTCTTTCTCTAAAAATGCACAAAGGATTTGTGATAAATGAACCCTCAAGACAGCAACAGGTCATTCCATGTACATCTACGTGTGTGGGTGAAAAACAATATAAAGGTTGTGGAGGTGGAACCATAAAGAGAAACAAAATCCCTTCCAAATTTACATAAAATCATGTTACAAATGTGAGTACTTCAAGGGTGCTCCCAGGGGTAGATCAAAGGACCCTGACAAAGCAGTGGGAGAGCAAACTATACTTGAGGAGAGAAGGTTGTCAACAAATGGGGTAATGAGTGACTACCCAGCCATATAGGACAAGATCAAATTACATGGATTCAAGCCATTCACAATTGCTCGACACCTGTATGTATCAGTGTGGGTTTTAGAGTTTTATACTACTTATGCCAAGACATTACCCAAGAAGAGAAAGGACATTGTTTTTAGTCCCCTCGAGGAAGTTGAAGTCTAAGAGAAAATGGTTCAATGCTATTTGGGAGAAATTAATGATATTTTGAGTACAAAAGGAAATAGAGGTGACTTTTACAAGTTTCAAATGAAGTATAGTTTGGATGCATTGAAAGGGTGGTTGGCACCCTTAATCTTAGATATTACCCCTACTTGGTTGGCTGGGAGGGTCAATATAGAAAATAAGGATATAAATATCAATATTTGATTCTTGTTTGGGTTCATTGAATGAGTTGATCCTCCGACAGCCCAAGGACATATTGGTAGCCAATATCATTGACCACGACGATATCCAAGTTTGGGCCGTCATTTAAGAGGATATGCTTATGAGAGCCCGATAGGAGAAGACATCATTTTTGTTCCCCGTGTTGATCATGCCATTGTGTGAGGTAGTCAGTGTCCCATTCAGGGAGATATATGATGTAAGGGTTACACCCACCTCATCCAATGACATTTAGAGGATCCAAGCTAATTATTTGAGGGATGATGCATCCAAAAGGAAGCCGACACCACCTAACACCACACCAGTCGTGGATCACACTACTTTAGAGACATACACTACTCATCCTGCTGCTTTTATGGAGCCTTCAGGTACCCCTCATCATTCTACCTTACTTTTATACCTTATTTACCCTCCACCTCATGTGCACCTCTTCCTTATTCTAACCTCCATTGACACATGCCTTGAATTTCCAGATGCGCATCTTTGCCCATTATAGAGATGTAAGGGCATTTGTCCTAGAGATAGAGGTTCCCAAGATGATTACCAGGGCCATCGAGGATGTCTTGTGCTCTACGACACCTGAGGTTGGGATCGATCAGAGTATATTAGATTCTTATGGGGAGAGGCTAAAAAACCTCTGTAACACCTCAGATTTAAAATAGAGGAATGGCATGTTAGAACTTAAAGGTGCCACCTCACAAGGACCAACCATGGGTACACGGAAAGGCAGCTAGAACACTGCCTAAAGAAGTAGTCACGACACACGCCCCGTGGATGGGTCCACGACCCATGGCTAGGGGGTTTCATGGTTGGCCAAAAAGTCTCTGAATCCACCCACGGTTGACCAGGACGGTGCGTAGGCCCATCCACGGTCTGTCAGCGGGGTCTTGTGGCTCAGGCCTGGTCGAGAAATTTAGGGGATTAATGGGATTTTCTGGATTTAATTAGACTTAAGTAGTGTCCTTTTACCCTAGCATAAACCACCAATATAAGTACTTTATACCCCTAAATTAAGTCATTTAATTCATTATCTCAAACTCACTAAAAGAATTGTGTTCTTTTCTCAAATAATTCTCTCTCTAGAAAGTTGAAGAAGAAGAAGAGGGTCAAGCTAGGTCAAGTAAAGTCTCCATTCTTCCAAGCTTGGTAGGATTTGTAATAAAGGTATGATGGCTTATTCATCCATGGAATCCTTTCATCCATGGAGTCCCCTAGAATTCCCCAATTGTGAAGTCTAAATCCCCAATTCTAGTTAGGGTTTCTTCCAATGTTGTGGGTTATGATGAATGTTGATCCAATTGACTGGATTATGATTGTTTATGATGGAATTGATAGAATTAAATGTTTATAGGATGAATTTACATGTACCCATGCCTAACCTATGATTCTAAGATGAATTGATATAGATAGGTTTTATGCCATGAAAGAGAAAATTGAGGATTTAGATGTAATCTTCTAGGATTGACGAGATACTTTGTAGATAGCTTGAGATTGAAGCATATAGACATGAATGGCTTAAGAGTAAAGCATATATACATGAATTGGTTGAGATCAAAGTATACATGATGAATTATGATTAGAAGGCTTGAGATTAGAATTCTCTTGAGATTAAGGCATGTATGATGAATGCTGATTATTAGGCCTTTTAGAGTAAAGATTGCGTGTTGAATTATTTTTAGTAGGGCTTGTAGAGTAAAGCTAATATGATGAGTGATGACTAATATGTCTTTGAGAGTAAAGCTTAATTGATGATCATAAGATGTACTGCTTTGAAGGTAAAGCCTAGACTATGAATTGTTGATTGTTGATGTTATGGTTGGAAGAGATACTTCCCACAATGAATTTCTAAGCATTATTGTATGAATGTGAAATGTTTACTCGCATGAATGATTCTATGTTGAAAGGATTGCTCACTTAAAATGAATCTAGACTAAATTGCTTAATGAATGATGAGGCTACATGCAACTACCCATGACCTCCATGTGTTAAGGATATGAGGTGATTCTCATACTCCTTAGAATTGAACAAGAGGTGATTCCCCACGTTCTTACAATGATGAATAGACATGTAGGCTAGTACCCATAAACCTTATGAAATGTGTGCAGGTGAGTACCTGTGTCATATGATGTGATTGTGCAGGCGAGTACCCATGATCTTAAAGTAAGTAAGGCAAGAGGCGAATACCCATTAGCCTTTACAAGTTAGGCAAGGAGGTGAATACCCATGTATTTAAAAGTAAGTATGAATAATGTGATTATGTTAGAAAGATGATAGATTTGATTGAGCAATACTATCCTTCCTTGAGTAGCTTGGACTTGCATGAGAGGATGCTTTCCATGATAGCTTGGTCTAGCATAATGAGGTGCTTTTCCTTGGTAGCCTTGAATTGGTAAATCGTAACCGCTCATGAGTAATGATTTTTCTTGGAGTAAAGAGGTACTTTTTTATAAATAGTAAAAATAGCTAATGAGGGACTAATCCCTAATCAAATGAGCATAGTTATTAAGAAACAAGATTACTTTGAGGAAGTATTGTAAGTATGTTTTAATATGAGATTTACTTGTATGATGTTAGACTAGCTTGAATTGTTTCTTGAGTTACCTTCCTTGATATGTACGAGTAAAGGTTGATGACCTAGGTATTGAGTAAGAACAAGTTGAGGTTACTTGTGAAGTGTTCCTTTTATAGTAAGATAATTTATGTGCATTGAACATGCTTATGACTTATGTTGATGATTTATGCTAGCCATCATATTTAGTGCATTTTTGTACTATACTCTTGCCTACATTCTTATCAAATGTAGGGTCCAACGATATTGACTTACATCCCCGTGGCTAGATTCATAGTAGAG